GGACCAGACCCGCTCCCATGTCATCTCGACCTGGGAGGAAAGTTTCCTCCCAGCGTGACATAAATAAGTTGGCATAACTAGGAGCGAATCTGGTCCCCAACGCATTACCGACTAGCTGTAAAAAAAAATAAACCATCAGACCAAAAAAAGGTATTGGTGAGTATAAGGTGGATGCTGTCTATAATAAACTGGATCTGGTTCTCAACAAACTTATTGCTCAAAGTCAGAAAATGTTGGACAGCTTCACAGCCCAATTCGGTGTAAAGGCTGGACACGTCGCATGTGACTAAATGGTAATCGTCCTCCCACTGAATATTCTGTAGAATATTTAATAACTGAGTGGAATCTCTAAGATACGTAGGTTGTGAGATGACCAAGGGTTGGAGTAATCTATCTATATACTCAGATAATCTACTAAGTATGGAACCAATCCCGGATTCTATGGGCCTTCCGGGAGGATTTTTGATATCCTTATGGATTTTTGGGAGTATATAAAAGACTGGTATACGACATACAGCTATGTTTAAATATTTATACTCATGTTTGTTGAGGATACCATCTTCCATGCCCTTACTTAATAATGACGTATATTTTTTCTTTATTTCTGATGTAGGGTCAGCCTTTAACTGAACATAGGTGGAGGCATCGTTCAGCTGTCTATAGACTTCCGTCATATAGTCCACAACGTTCAGCACGACGATACCTCCACCCTTGTCAGCTGGCTTAATAACAATATTATGGTCTTGCTGGAGATTCTTAAGGGCTTTGATTTGTGCATGGTTAAAGTTACCTCTTTTCTTTTTATTTATTTGTCTCACATCTTTCATCACTAGCTTTTCAAAAACTTTCATTTCACCACTGATATGGTTTTTTGGAAAGAATTGAGATTTATCTTTTAAATTAGTGTGAACAAAGGTGTCATGAATGACACCCCCTTGTTCACTAATAGAAAATGTATTAAAATGTTTCTTAAGGCAAAGTTTACGAATAAATTTATGCATATCTACAAATGTATTAAAAGGTTTATTACTGCTCGTTAGTGCGAATTTTAGGCCCTTATTAAGAACTTCCAATTCTTTATCGGTAAGGACTTTATCTGAAAGATTGAAGATACCTAATGATGGTTTCTTCCTCTTTTTTTCATGGTCCAGGCGTCTTCTTGCTCGACATCCCCTTCTCCCTGATCCCAAGGTCTCTTTGACCTCTGTGGGCGGGGAGATTCGCCCTGTCCTAAAAAAGGGCGCGGTGGAATTTTGGAGATTTCGACATAGGACTTCGCTTGGTTTATTACAGCATGATTTTTATTATCACCATTGGTATTCTCCATCAAAGGTCTAAACCTGCTTCCGTAGTTAGAGATATGTGTTGCTGATTACGTATAAGAGGTTGTGTTCTATTAGGTCCACTAAATGTAGCAGAGTTCTTAAAAGTGGACCTAGTTTGTTCCTGAATTTGGGATTTTTTATTGTTATTATACCTATTGTTATTATTTCCATTATAATTCCTAGGTATATACGTAGAGTTAGAGTTCCTAGAGTAATTTCTGTTGTATTTAGCAAATGAACGAACTCTGTCATAAGCATAATCATGCTTATCCCTAATGTATTTACTTTTTTTTAACGGAAATAACCTCTTCCTCCTGTTTATCAACATTTTCTTGAACCCTTTTTAGGGAGATAGACATTTCTTCAATTTCTGACATAAGTTGGAGTTTATCTTTAATCTCGTTAATTTCCCTATCTAGTTTAACAAGATTAAGTTTTCTTTGTTGGACGATGATGGACATCATGCGAGCAGAAAAAGATGCTAAAGCGGAATTCCATATCTCCATGAATCCATCATCGTCCTGGTCAAAGGTGGGTTTTTAAAAAAAACCTACAACACACATTACCCACAACGTCGCTTACACTACATATTTGCGACGACTAACTAGGCATAGCAAACAAGGTATCGCATGCTCTATCAATAGACGCACTACCACTAATCAACCCTGACTTCAACCACCTAATCTGGCATAGGCATGGCGTCCACACTCTGTCCCAACTACTACAGGGCTCATACCTCAAAGGGTTCACAGACATTCAAGACGAATTTGGTCTCTCCGCCATAGTACACTTTTCCTACATGCAGTTGAAATCCTGGACCATGTCCTGTCTCCCACAACCTGCAAAAGAGACCCACGAAGCCTAAAACTTAAACCCCCAACCAAACTAATCTCGATGATCTATGCCTCAGAACACTCAACGCTAACCTGGACTCCCTGCACTTCAATGAATATTCTAAGCTCACAAATCAATGACCCTATGTACATCACACATCGAACTACCCTGTAAAATCCTTTACAGATGGTATTTAGTCCCCACTCGCCTGAAGCAATGCTTCCCAAACACCTCAGACATGTGCTGAAATTGCCAACAAGACAAGGGGGACATGGCCCACATATGGTGGCACTGCCCAAAACTCTACCAATATTGGCGTGATATAGCAGACATGATAACACACTGCGTAGGAATATATTTCCCCTTTTACCCTGAAACATTCCTCCTCCTGATGTTCCCAACGCAACTTTGGAAAAGCCAAATATACCTAATATATCACCTGATCATAGCTGCTCCCACAGTCATAAGCAGACAATGGAAGTCACCTTCCCCCCCTACAGTAGAACAATGCATCAAGGAAGTGGACATCAATAAACTATATGAACTAATGGCCAGACGCTCTCGCCCACGTGCCAAATTCTGGTCCAACACGTGGGATCTCTGGGACTTGCACAGACCTGACCAAAGTGTACAGGGCACTGGCCAAAAGTGACTTGCATTCACACACATCTCTGACCTCTTCTCTCAAGCATAACACACACCCTGCAACTACGCCAAGTTGGCGACTAGCATTTGAAGGACAGAAGTAAAAACGCACCGATGCGAGACCACACCACTCACTGCACCACCCTCAACTCCTGCCATGGGAACTCAACCACACACTACCCCCATCGTAACTCACATATCATATGAAAATGACCGAGACTCCCAGTTTAAGCCTCCCCACCCCCATCCCTACTGACCCTCACTGAATCCACCTTGACCCGAACAGCGCGAAGCCCACCTTGGGGACTCCGACACACGAGACCACACAGGTACCTCAAACTCTGCTTTTAGATACCCCGCCTGAGACCAGACGGGAAAAAAAACTGAATCTCTTACCCTTCAGCACAATTCCAGCAAACTCACTGACGATAAACAGTGCAGATTAGTATTGTAACATTTACCTGATCTACCAACCCCTCCCTCCTTTCCTTCTGTACCGTACAAAAAACATACGTTGTCAACTTGGGAAGTGATAGGTAGACATCAAAGAAGCGAACTCACAGTGAAGTTCATAGTTACCCCTCCATAACCACCCTTTTCCTTTCTGTACCCCGATACCACACGGAAATGTCAACTTAACTGCCTGCTAATAGCAGACTTTGATGGAAGGCACCGACAATTCAATGAACACACACAGCAACATCCAAACTGCTGTTACGGGCCTCCTCAATGAGAATGTATCTAAACCCTATAAGGTGCCACTGGCCGATGACCGCGATATTGTAACGCCCTCCGCTTACACTGCTTACACTGCTTACACTGCATATTCCGCATTTACTATGACAAATATACCCAGTGATTCACTGCTGAAAGGATGTAATGTACCACTGTTGAAACCACCCCCCTTTTTCTTTTCTGTACCCCTCCCCACTCCCATGCTATGACAAAAAAAAAATTGTCAAAAAAAAAAAATTGCCTATAGAAAATATCTGATTATCCTATGTATAGTTCATCTATTATAATAACTTGAAGTGCAAATATGGAGTTTAGTAAATATCCCCCAAGACCGGAAACTATAAAAATGTGTGAATATGAAATTATTGTCCCAAATTAGTGAATAGGGCACTGCAGGTACTAGAAACATTTGAATGATATCATGTTCTACCAAAATAAATAAAATTAATTTTAAAAAATGATTAAAAATTCAATTACTGACCACAGTACTCTGCTATAAATACACTTTCAATTATTCTTAAATTCTAAGTAAATCCACATCCATATCACATGACAGATAAAAATAAAACATATACAATAGTGTTTTATGTTGTCGCAGCTTAGTGTCACTGCTCCACTGTTAGTAGTGCACTTTCACAGCCCAGGGCAAAGATACACTCTGATTTTAACAGCATGTGGTTGAATAATGATAGCAAGATTGTCATCAGCCTGCCTTTACATGAATAGACAAGGAGGAACAGATATTGTGATGCTTTATGCATATGTAGGTAACAGCAAAATTAAGAACCTGTATTATAATACTATACACAGATTGGGGTACTTTTTTTTTTATTCTTTATTTTTGCTCTGCAAAGAATAACAAACAAGCTTACAATGCCACAACAACATCGACAAGTTCAGCAATAACAAACGGTATAACAATTCAATGTGGCATGCAGATTGACAGCACAATTTTATGAATAATAGATGATATGTAGCAAAGTTGAAGCTAAGTAATAACATCTGTCTCATTAAATTACTTTGTCGATTAATAATAGTGGCTTAAGGTTAATATTTATGTAGAGTGTCATCGCTTTAATATCTAGACAGTAACCTGGTTATGCTTGACTATGCAGTAGATAAGACAGTAGGTTTGCATTTCAGGTTATGATAGAGTATGCAGTGCTGACTACCGATAAAAATGTAATTCTATTAAGGATTCCAGCTTAACTAAGATTCTCATTAAAACAAGGTGCCACCAGGCAGAGCATCTTACATTCCGCTATCTCCTCAACACACACAAAGCTCAACCAAAAATCAACTTTATACTAGGTGTGCAGAGGATGTGCACATCACTCAGTGACTGCAATTACAGTGCTATCTGATGTGGTTAGTCGTGGCATACTATACTTTATGCTTCTTATTATGAATGGCTGGGGTCACTGCCAGCTCCATCCTGGTGCAAAGCATGAGATAGTTGGGTCATAGTCTGTGCCTAAGTGTGGGGAGAGTCCTTGGAGGCTTCCAGGTTGCCAGGTACGTTTGAGTGCTGTAGTACCATGCGGTCAGTGGATGGTGTGGATTTTCCCGTTTGCCCTCCCAGCATTTCTCATTGATGAAGCTTGCTCGGTGTGCGAGCCTCAGGGATTGCCGCTTTGCTGTGGGTATATGAGGGAAGTGCTGTCTTTGATGGTTCTCGCCTGTCAGTATGCGTGTTCCAGGGTCGTTGCATGGGGACTCAAGAGCCCTCTGGGACTTCCTGTGATAGCAGTACTGCTGTGTCACCTCATCAGCGTGTCTTAGCGGGAACGCCGTCTCCGTCAGTGCTGTTGCTGTGCAGCCATCGGCCATTTTGATGAGACCGCATGGGAGACTCACTTCTCCGGCTTTGGGCCGCCCAGGTAAATTGCTTAAATGGTACCCCGCCTGGTGGGGACCGGGATGACCCCCTCTGGCCCACAGGGGGGGAAACGGGAACCGGAAGGCGCCAGGTAGGTGGTAGTTCATTGTAGGCAGGACGGAGAGCGAGGCAGTGGCCGTCCGCCCCACTCCCCTCCCGGGTATACCTTAATCTCCGAGTCTCTAACCAGGACCTAGAGCTGCCCTGCAGCGGGTGCCCCAGCTACACCGGGACACTCCAGTGTCTCGAGCCATGGATGTCAGGATTACTGTTTGATCCAGCACGTGGAACTGTACAGCATGGATGACAAATAAGTAACGTATTAACGGTCCTTAGAATGGCCGGATTTAACATACAAAGAATAGTCAAAAATACTAGCCGAGGTCAGGGAACACAGAAAGGGACACAGCGATGAGGAAAGCCAGGAGTCAGGATACCAGAATATAGAGAAGTCAATAAACAAAGCCAAAGTCAAAAACCAGGTAGAAAACTATAAACAGGAACGCGCTCTCAGACAACCACAAGGGAAACCACGACAGGGCACTGAGCAGGCTGAGAACTGGGCCTAAATACCCCTCCTTTAGTTCTGATAGGCTGTAACCGGCCTTTGACCCCAAAGTCAGTTACCAGGTTTCATTTGCATAATTGCTGCTCAGCAATAACCCTTCTGTGGATTAGGTTGCTGCTCGGCACAACTTTTCCTGTGTGGACAGTAAATGTCATTAACCACATTTCTATAAGCGGATGAATACGTGACAATGGACCCCTGGGTCAGTGTAAGCCGAGTAAGATGGGTATATACCCTATTTTCTATCAATTACTCGGGATCCCTTGTGATATGCAGCCTGCTGGCATGGCCGCCCAGCTCTGCCCCCCTTGGGGTACTTTTTAAAACAAGAAACTTGTTTATTTTCCCTTTTCCAGATATGCATTCATAATGAATTTTCATAAGAACATTAAGACAAAATGACTTTTTTGAAATTGTTTAAAAATGTATTCATAAAAGAGAAGTAACAAAAGTATAGATCAGTGGTTCTCAAACCAGTCCTCATGGCCCACCACCAATCCAGGTATTGGCAGCATCTCCATTGAAATAAAAAATGGAAGTATATAAAACATGGATTGTTGATTGGCTACAAGGACTGGTTTGTGAACAGTATAGAATATTACCTTTAATAACAGTGTACAATAGGCAACATGGGGCGTGGTTAAGTGGACTTAGAGCATGTTCACATGAAACCTGCTCTCTGTGGCAAACAGGGTCATCAGGTGCTGATTTTCCACAACCTCTCTCCATTTACCTTAAAAGACCACGCACGGGACAGCACCTCCAAATGTAAGGACCTTCTGTCCCACCAATGTATCCTTATGAATAAAGTACTACATCAACACCAGCTGATTGTTTGCGTACCCTACATCCCAGGGGTATAGATTATTCATACTATTTGCGGACTGCAGACTGCTACTCCAGATTCAATACATTTTTCATCTCACATAGGTATATACCCATGGGGTGGAAGCTCCGCCATTTAGGTTATCTTTAAATTCATTATCCATGGTACATATACAATAATGAAAGAAGCTGCTGTTGGTTAGACCACATCTCAGTGACTATTTCCATAGTTCTGCAGAGAGTATATCCCCCTCCTCTCATTGGCATCTCAATGAGACACTATTAGATGATTCTAAAGTCTTAGACGAGGCTTGCTCTTTATTTACTGCAGACCTTGCCAATAGCTCTAATATGAAAATTCTTCATTACATTGAAGAATGCTTTTTCTAACTAAGTATGTGCAGGTAAACACCTCAGACTGGCATTTAGTTCATTAACCAAGAACAGAAAATCGGGAGGCTTAGATCTGTCATTTGGTAATTCTATTTTTGAAATTAAGAGAGTGGATGGGAGCTGGGGGTATGCAGTCCTGGCTGGGCGTAGAACAATACTTTACCATGGCAGATAATGCATTATACAGCAACTATGCCCCAACCCTCATTCTGTGATATGGCCCATACTACGCCTGTGGAGGAAATTATGCTCTACCGTGCAATTATCTCCAGGTATATGACCACTAATGTCTATTGTAGAGAATCCCTCATTACATTCTGGAGGCGGTCAAACTGTACTGTTGAGGTTTTGTGGCAATACACAATGTACTTTGTTTTTTATTCTAATAGAGCATCAAGCTCCAAAGATCTCTGACCTGGTGAGAGACAGGATTCCCACCTTGTTAGATTTACTCAGCTTCTCTCAATTAAGCCTTTTTTTTGATGGTCACAATTCTTCCTCACTTTGAAAGTGAGCTTTAAATACAGTTGTCCCTTAAGGACTGGACCCATGTCTTCCACATGATAATGACCTCAACAATTACTCTCCAGAAACAACAGTCATTCTACAAAGAAAATCACTAGATCGTATAAAACCCTAAAGTGCTTCAATTCAATTTACCCAATGGTGAGTGATACTTGCTGGATGTGCAGTGAGAGGCAGACTCTATGGAGCATATTTGATGGAGCTGTAGGGACATTAATCCGTTTTTGAATAGTGTGCTTGGTCTTGTTTGGAAAGTGCTTAATCATTTGTTTATCCCCTCTCAGATCCTCCTTGGGTGTTAAAACACTATTACAGAGAGTCATAAACAAATACTCCTCTGAATACTTTTGGGAGATGCCAGTGATCTAATACCTACCTTGTGGAAACAACAGGGATCCCCCACCTGGGAACAGTGGATAAGTAGGGTTGAGAATACGAGATCCATTTAAAATATGTACTGTGCATCCTTGGGGAAACGAAACAAATATGAGAAAATATGTGTAACCTAGCTCAAGTACTACTCATCCATATCCCTGTTGTAGATGGTAGTAGATAACGTTTAACCATTCTTGTTGTCAGACTATCATCTTTTCTGATGATCAAACTCTATATTGAAACCATTTATAGTCCAGCCATATGCCTTCTCCTATGGGTTAAGTTTGTTGATGCATGAAAGTGCAACTATTCTTTTTCTGATTTTATTGAATATTTAAATTTTATATTATTTGTTTCTTTTATGTTTAAGTTTACATAACAATTGGGATCATTGCATTAGCCATTTTCTCTCTCATCCTGATACGACATCGAAAGACTCCCTATCTATGCATAAAGGAGGAAAATATGAGAATATATATTTGATAGGATAAAATAATATAATAAATCCACCATTCAGATATAAATACAGAAATGTTATTACTAACTTGTTTCTGTATTTAATCCTAACAGATGTTTTTCATTCATTATATATTTTTGGTAACAAAAAAAATCCCCAAAAAATGCAACTTAGTCAAGTTGACCTTATATTTGATATCGCTCTTCCTTTTATTAATGCCAAGTTTAAATGTAATACCTTGTGATAATGAGTCATCTTTAACATGTTCAAAACACTTTCTGATTCTGTCTAATGCAAGCATTTGAAACTTGTGGCCCCAGGGCCACATGCGGCCCACAAAGGATATCTTTGCGGCCCAGCCAATCAGATAAGCGCAAAAGTCACTTGTCAGGGAGGCCATCTATCTATAGTGCAGAGCCATTGCTACCATCACCTGAGGCTCCGGCTCTATGGGAGAAGCAGCTGCCTACCAGCACAGGAAGAGGGAGGTATGAGTGGAAATGGAAGGGGTAGGAAGGGCGATATGAGTGGGGGAAATAGAATGGAAGGGAGGTAGGGAGATATGAATTGAAGGATGGGAGAGGGAGATATGGATGGTATGAGAGAGACTTACTTGGATGGAATGGGTGGGGGGGAGACATAGATGGAAGTGAGTTTCATATACAGTTGTCCCTTAGAAACTGGACCCATATCTTCCACACGATAATGACCTCAACGATTACTCTCCAGAAACAAGTCCTTCTACAAAAGAATCAATAGATGGTATAAAACGCCAGAGTTCTTATTTTTAATTTACCCAACGATGAGTGATACTTGCATGGAGCCATAGGGGGAGAGATATGGAAAGAAGGGAGAGATATGGAAGAGAGATATGGAAGGGAGGGAGAGATGTGGAGGGAGATATATGGAGGGGAGGGAGAGATATGGAAGGGCAGTAGAGATAAGAAAGGGAGGGAGATATGTGGAATTGAGGGAGACATGCAGGGAAACAGACATGGATCGAAGGGAGGAGAGAGACATGGGGAAGATACATGGAGGGAAACAGACATGGATGGAAGTTGGGAAGAAAAGACATGGATGGAAGGAGGGGAGAGACATGGAGGGAAACAGACATGGATGGATGGGGGGAAGAAGAGACAAGGATGGAAGTGGGGTAGAAGTGATCAGAGTGGAGTGTGCAGCTATACTTTACCCTGCCTGGAGATTGCAGAGGGACTAGGGAGTGAGTGGAGTGGACAGTGAGGCTACCTACGTGACTGAAACTGCAGTTTGCAGAAGGACTGAGGGAGTGACAGGTGCAGACACTTCAGACAGTGGCATTACTACTGAGATAGTAAGTAACTTGAGGGGAAGCTTTTGAGTGAATTATATATATGTACCCAGGATTACATATTGTTTCCATGAGAATTATACAATTTTAGTTTGTATTGGTCTAGGTCGAACTCTTTTTTTTTTTTTTTTGCAGCCCACATAAACTTAAGCCTTGTTTATTTGGCCCGAGTTAGCCGTTGAGTTTGACATGCTTGGTCTAATGTGATGTAATGTGACATGTTTCCTAGATGTTTGACTTAATATACTTATAGCCACAACTACTGTTTAGCAGGTAAACAACATAAGAACTATAACAAGAAAAGTATAACATAAGTTTTAGTACTGCTAGAAATAGTAATTTTTATATCTCTACGTCTAGGCACTTCATATTATGTCATGACTCAGATCCAAATACAATATCCGTTTTGATCATAGAAGGGATTAATACGGAGATTGCTTGTCACGCTAGTAAACTTAAATTATTATTGGCTGATGAAACTAAATGGATTTTAGATTGGAAACCTTAGCCCCTGAAGGGCTTAAGAAAGAACTTAAATTTAAGAATGTTATAGTTTTAGAGATAGGTGTCATGTTTTGTTTTAGTATGAAATTATATTTATATATTGGAAAGGAAATACATTAATTGAAATAAG